CAACGCTGGGTTAAATTTACACCTCCCGCTTCGTCCAACCAGGTCTCTGTGATGCACGCCAGATCTGCCCGTTCATCCAGGATTAAATCCTGGATGAAAGTTGTTTTACCGTTGACAGATCTGGCGTTCAACAGCACCACTTTCAATTCGGAGGGACCGCCATCCTGGTTACACCGACTTACCAGTATCAGGAGACCGATTTGGAATTACTAATGTTGTTCCACGTTCCCTAGGCCGAATTAAAGGTCTCCCTTTCCCGTATCTCCCCCTCCCCACCACGACTTCTATGGGGGCTCCCCGGTTAACGGAAGCCTCTCCCTCCTCCATGACGCATTCAGCAACCGTAGTGTCAACCCATAGTTCATTGTTGACTGTTTGATATATTACATCTTCAGGTTGCCATGGCCTTGTCTTCCAATCATTTCCCGTTCCTATTGTATTATACTCGGGTCTTTCTGAGCTATTCCGTTCCCTCTCTCTACCATAAACAATTAACAGCAAGATTAACAATTGCCAGGGAATGGATAGTGACATGAATGATAGCTGTTAAACACAGTCCAGGAGTTCGCTAAAGCTCTTAAAGCGCAGATGGAAAATTATGTCAGCTTACACGATGGTATAGTAATTAAAGTGCGGTAACTTCTCAATTGGCTCTAAAGTGCTAAATGAAGTGCGTCATGGAGGACTTAATTCAACGCTAGATAGGTTGAATCGATTAAAGTGCTAGAGGTAATTAAAGTGCCACAGAGGTAGTAATTCAAAGTGCTAATAGAGTAAAGTGCTAGAGTCATACAAAATAATGGGATATCCCACACCACCACAATGACGATGCTCAGCACCGTTAAGAAAGGTGGTCACACAATCAAGGGTGGTCAGCACAACCAGAGGGGATCAGCACAAATAAAATGGTCGGCACAATTAAAGACAATGGTCAGCACAATCAAGGATGGTCCACACAATCGAGAAAAAATAGTCTGCGGAGTCAGAGGGGTCAGCACAGACGGATTAACGATGGTCAAAACAATTTATCCAAAATTGGAACAGCGAGATGCCAAAAGGTGGCGATAATTAGGTCACAGGATGGTCAATCCAGTCCTCCGGGGGTTGGTGGTTACTCTTTATGAGAGTGGAGTTGGATTTCTGTCTATTGTCTCTTGCAGTAGCCCTTCTTTGTTAGGCTATTATAAAGAAGAGTACATCTAGAGGGAAAAATACAGTTATACAGTCCCCTCAATTAATATGTCAGGCAAAGCAGAAGCTTTGAACATGTTTTTGCCTGTAAATCAAAGTCTCTGAGTGGACTTTGCTTTTTCAAGCATATAAAAGTGCATGTTGGTGGATCCACCAACTAGGTTAGTGAACTTCTCTGCCCCCTTCTCCCCATTGCAGCCTCCTGAAAAGGCTATAAAGGTTTGAAGGATTCGGCTGAGTGGCTTAAGCTATGAAGTGGGGCAAGGTATTGGAATTCTCAAAAAACATACAGAGGAGCTGTGTCATTTCTGTGGACCTTCTGTCCACTGAAAACAGATCCTGGATCCAACTGTAAGTGTTTTATCTGTTGAAGAGAATATCTAGATTTTAGTCCTGTATTCTGTAGGCTATATTTCAGAAGAAGAAATGGACAGACTTGGGGGGGGGGGGAGGGTTGCCTACTAAAACCTTATTGAAATCTTAAGTCAACAGGCAGCTTGTACACAGATAAACAAACATACATGAGCAATGACACTCTTTTTACAAAAAGACAATTTTTCAGGACTGAAAATAATTCAGATACTGAAAGCTGAATAAAAAAAATCTATCAAAGTAAACAGATATTTGGAAGGCTCTTCTTAAAAATCACTATATAAGTTCTCTTTATGAGAGAGTTAATCAACCTCTTCAGATGGGGCTATTTTCAGTGGCATACACCAGTTCCTCTGCAGTTTTGCAATGGAGCTTGCTGGCTCTCACCCCATGATATTGAACTAATTCTGTCAGGGCTCTGTTAAATAACTGCAGTGGATCTGGCATATCATGGCACCATGGGGAACTTCCTGTAGTGCATTGGGATCAATGGGGAAAAGCCAGGCAGCAGACACTTCCCCCTTTGGGATGAGGTGTGTGTGTGTGGGGAGGGGGGAGCTGGGCAATGTGGGGGTGAGGTGACAGGTTCCCCATGCTGGACACTGCTAGAGTCACCATGATCCGTGGCGATTTTGGAGGCATGTATTAAGAGGTCAAAAGTGGGTTAGAAATAATAAGAATAAGTGTGATCACATTTATCTGACTCTAGGTAATCCTCTCCAGCAAGTGATTACATTTTATTTCATGGGAAATTTTCTATTGTCTTTCATTTATTTTTCTTTTTTTCTTTTATCTAAAAAGTTGATATGCTATGTATGTATGAGAGTAATGTAGATATAGACTAAGTTGAAATAGTTAGATTTGATTATATTGAAATATTGCATGTAATGTTTTTAAATGTTTAATATGGATTAATTTTAATTTTAATATTTATTGGAATTTTATGTTGCTTTAAGGCATTGAATAATTGTCTATATGTAAGCCGACTTGTGTCCCCTTTGGGGTTGAGAAAGGTGGGTTATAAATAGGGTAAATAAATAAATAAGCTTTAAATTCAAATAACATACATCCCCAGTACTATGCCAGCTTATATCAAAGTTGTATTGTCAGATAAGTGTTTATAGGATGACAGGCTAGGTCAGATCCAACATTTCGGTTTTTTAAAATGTTTTATTTACTGTTCATGTTGCAGTAAAATAAAATACAAGTAAAGCAATAATCTTGTTAACCTACCACAAAATAAATGCCCACAATTGGTTTCTACTGGGAAGGTAGGAGTCTGGAGGCAGATAGGGCAGATTGCATCTGCATGATAACATCTCTTCCACTGTCTAAGAGATCCCTAAAGAAGAAGAAAAATGATCTGTTAAAATCATATTTCAGTTAATTTATAAAACATCCTGCATATATTGATTGTTATGAATCAAATCAAGAGCAAAGACTGGAAACATTTCTTTTTTTCCTCACTGTATATATCCATCAACTTAGGGCGACTTCCTGAATTCTGTAGGATTTTCTTAGGAAAGAAATACCCAGAGGTGGTTTTGCTAGATGCTTCCTCTCAAATATAGCCAATGGCATCTGGTATTCATTGGTACTCATACACCTATGTACTAAAAAGGGCTCACCCAGGTTTGCTTCAAAGATCAGATGGGATCTGACATCTTTAGAATACATAGGCCCCTACAATTCTCCAAATCGTAGCGGAGGCCTGTTCAAGATCAGAATTGCTCCCACAGCCTTGTTTATCTGCCATTTTTACAAATTCCATGACCTCTCATACACAGATGTGAGTTTCTTCTGGAAGAGGTCTTATCTAAGATCCCCCCCCCCTTCTCAAAAAAGAAAAAAAAACGCCTTTAGCTGTGTGGCTATCTCATATACTAACAAGACAGAAAACCTGATTAATGAAGTCATTCTGCTTCTCTAAATTCAGCATATCATATATCAAGTCTCTGTTTTGAAAAGTAATCCCAGTTCTTGTTTTCTAAGTCTCATCTCTTACAAAAACAGGAACAAAGTATGTTTCTAATTAGGTCATCAAAATTCTGAATCCAGGAAAATTTAGCTATCCCAGAGAAGGAAAATTTGAAAAGCTTTCCTGACATCTCTGACTCTTGCACGTATCAAACCACTTTTTTGTTTTCATTATATATCTTTAAAAGTTGCAGATTTGCAAACTTACTGTGTGTTTTTTTGGAGACAAGAGGACATAATTATTTTCCAATGGACTCATTTCTTGACTTTGAATTAAGAAATCTGTAAAAATAAAGTTTATAAAATGTAATGTGATGATTTGCTGGCTAGAGGTTACAAATAATGACGTCTAACAACATTTAGAGAAGTGTGAGAACCATCCAGTCAAAAAGGACAGTAGACTGGTAGACCTCAAATTGTGATAGAAGTGAAAGTCCCATTATTCTTCACCATTGTCGGCTAGATCTTCAGAGAGTTCCAGCCCAACAATACTTGGTAGTTCAAATCTTCCCCACTCTTTCTAAACTATGGTAGGCCAACTGCATTCACGGGGTTCAGTTTCAGCCCCATGCTCATCCCCAGTTACTAAATGATAGTGGTGTGAAAACACACATGCTTCAGCATGTATATATTGACTTTACCAACATTTCATAATATGGGCTATGGTGATCTGTAGTTGGTGGAAATTGTAAATGTGGCGCCCACGGATCCAGAGGGCTCAGTGATCCTGATATACTCCATGGTAATCATCAATCCACACATCAAATATTCCATTATAATTTGATTAAAATTTATAGAACTGGCTTGACTGGATTAATTTAAGAATTACAGTTCCCTAAAACCATATTTGGTGAAATGTGGTCTATGTGTATATAGAAATTCAATTATATTTTCAACAACTTCATTTTTCCTTTATCCTCTTTGGTCTGGAGAAGCAGAATTATTCTTTTCATCACAGAAGATTTCGTAATACTTTCTGTCTTGGTTGGAACATTGTTGGGACTTTAAAACAAATTTTTCCAGTCTTCTTCTTTGATATACACACACATAGACATTGAAGAGAAACAAAGCTTGTACTTGGCAAGTCTGGGATCTGAGCGGAGCCTGGAGCCGTAGACATGTTTCAACAGTTCAAAGAGTCTGTGGATATTAGAAGCCCACAGTCAGCACACAGATCAGGTCAAAAGAAGCTGCTTCCTTATCTCTTGACCTGAGACCCCATTTGTAGTTTAAAGTGACTGTTAGTTTAAAAAAAGCAACAGAGCTGCCCTTTGTTTATCTTGAACTAAGTCCAGCATCTTAAATGGGTTATAAAAAAGGAAGAAAAAAAAAAAGAAATGAGCATCACATGGGACTGGCATTTCATTTAGGCATCTATACTGCACTTCTTGAAATGTCATAAACATACAGGCTGAAGCCCAATAAGGTAATGCAACGATGTTCTCATTACTAGGTGTCTGCATATATCTGTCAATCCCCACTATACATGCACTTAAAGGAGTCCATTTGTTCATGAACATACATACAACTAAAACAATGCATTTTAAAATAATATTAAACAGTGCAGTCAGCCTAAGCCATGGATTTGGGTTGTGATAAAAAATATTTTTTTTCTTATTTAAAGCAATGACCTCTATGTTTGGACAAAGTTCTCTTTTTTAAATTACAAACTAAAACAATCCACAACAGTCAAAATGAAATATCAGAAAATATCCCTATAATTAAAAAAAAATCATCAAACAAGAGCCAGCACTCAATCCATCAATATTCAATGTAGATAATTAAAATTCTGCAATATATGTCAAAAAGAAAAGCAGTTTTAACTTGGCCTATAGCACTGATTTAGAGTAAGCTATTCTAAAGTGGGGGTTCAGAGCCGTTCAGCAGTGGAACTCTCTGCCCCAGAGTGTGGTGGAGGCTCCTTCTTTGGAGGTTTTAAAACAGAGGCTAGATGGCCATCTGTCAGGGGTGCTTTGAATGCAATATTCCTGCTTCTTGGCAGGGGGTTGGACTGGATGGCCCATGAGGTCTCTTCCAACTGTATGATTATATGATTCATTTGTACTTCTCATCAAAGATGGAAGTATGATTTAGCTTTGAGGCATCTATCCGGGAAACTATTTTTAAAATATGCAACCTTCATATTCTAATGAGACTGTTTCAAAAGCTTAAGTCTCATCCTGGGAAAAGGAAGAGGATAAACTGAATAAGCAAACAAATGTTTGTATCATTTGGTTAATAGCACTCTGTTTTAATTCTTAGTGTCAACTGCTTTGGATACCATACCAGAAGAAAGCATACTCTCCCACATTTCACAAATGAAACCTGGAATATGTGTGGTCAAGACAGAAAAAGTTATTGATGAGGATAAGCTAGGAAAGGAGGCAGCCATTTGCTTTGACCTGAGCCTCTTTTTCTCTCCTATTGAGTCAATTGAGTCCAAACATATTCTCCCTCTATGAACCACCACAGAGATTAAGATCTTTCTGAGAGGCCCTTCTCTCGGTCCCACCACCATCATGGGTGCGATTGGCAGGGACGAGAGAGGGGGCCTTTTCAGTTATTGCCCCTTGGCCATGGAACTCACTCCCTTGTGAGATTTGATCAGCCCCCTCCCTCCTGTCCTTCAGAAAGATGGTTAAAAACTTGGCTGTGGGATTAAGCCTTTGGGAGAGTGTAATAAGGCAATGATAGGAAACTCTATCCTGCTAACCAAATCTGGTCTGGCTGATCTGAGATGGTTTTAAACAATTGATTTTAGAGATAACTGATTTATAGTTGATTTTATGTCCTAGCATTGAATGTTTGCCATATATATGTTGTGTTCTGCCTTGAGTCTCTCTTGAGGTGAGAAGTGTGGAATAAAAATGCTTTAAATAAATAAATAATTGGGTGCACTTTGAAGGAAGAGAGAGAAACTGGGTGATTGTAAAAAAAAAACAGTTGAAAAAGTGGGACACCAGATGTTCAATCAGAATTTTTCTTGCCAAATCGGGACCACTGGGAGTATGACAAACACTGGATATAAAATGATTGATTGAATGAACTAATGAATGGATATGCTAGCAGCCACATGAGTATGCTACTTCCCTGAATAGATAGCTAAGGTTTTCTTAAGGTTTCGCAGAATCCAATAGTATCCTATTGGATCACTCCTGTCCTTCAGGAGGAAGGTAAAGACGTGGTTGTGAGACCAGGCCTTCGGTTAATCTGCCAACTAAGTACGGACAACCATACAAATAGGACCAGCAAGACTGATAACTGTGGAATGAAACTCTGAACTATGAGATAACGAATATTGACCGGCAATAAGGAGTAATTGGTTTGTATCGGTTTGTATGAAATTTTTATGGGTTTTATTGGTTTTATTGGGTATAGATATGATGTACTGTTGTTGTTTGCTATTTTGTGCTATTGTGTTTTATTATTGTTGTATGTTACGGGCATCGAATTGTGCCTTGGATATGTAAGCCGCCCTGAGTCCCCTTCGGGGTGAGAAGGGCGGGGTAAAAGTAAACCAAATAAATAAATAAATAAATCCTAGAGTGTCCCAGCACTTTTCAGGTGATAGCTAACAACCAGATGGGAATGATGGAACTCTCCAGATGTTTATGGATTTCAACTTCCAGCATTCATCACCATTGATAATGCTGGCTGGAGTTCCTGGAAGTAGCAGTCCAACATTAGCTAGTGGACCACATCATTCTCTGCTGGTAGTGTCTAATGCTAATCTACTATTGAATGCAGTTCAATATCATCAATATTATTCTGTCTGTCATCTCTCTGTCTGATGCTATCTGTTCCAGCATTTTAGCAAAGCCTGTGATTTTATTTTAGTTGCTGAATTAATTAAAATGAAATCGAGGGTTTTTAAATTTTAGTATTTATCTTCACTTCGGAAAGCTAACCGCAAAAGAGATTATTATTTTTTTTAAAAACATCGTGTTTGTTTTTTTCATTTAGCTGATAGCCATGCAAAATCACAATTTTAATTTAAATTCCCCCACTTAAGGTCTTACCTGGTCCCAGAAAGTTTGAGCACTGAACCATGTATCACTGCCGCATTGAAGAAGTGTTTGAGCAGTTTCTTTTAAAAGCTGGTGATGTTCTCTCTCCACTGGGCTGACAGCAATGTGTGCAGTACAGAGTCATAGCTTACACTTCATTAAGGCAGGACATCTCTTTTAGTAAATCATTTACCTGCTTGACTAATGTCAAGGTTTTGCCAGGGTTTCTAAATAGTAGTAGTGGAAATACGAAATCTCTTTCCAAATGTACCACACACACACACACACAAGCCTGAAGAGATTACAGAACTTAAGAAATAGCTATTATTTCACCTATGAAGTTGCTTAAGGATCTATTTTGCAAATTTGATTATGAAGCATCTTACTAGCTCTATGAATAAAAGATTAGTAAAATTAAATCAATTAAATGGTCCAGAAAAATGCACAACTATAAAACTGGGCTGTGGCTCACTTGCTTGTCAAGGAAATTGAAATTCACACAATTAAAGGTAGAAAGACTGCATACAACTTGCTTATCAATACAGCTGAAATTCACATGATTAAAGGCAGGAAGATAAGTGGAGGAGATAATTCATACAGCCATTTTATCAAACAATATTAATATGGAAGGTTAACTGGGGACAGAAATATTTGGATTAAATGAAGTAGTTATGATCAAATTCCTTTGATTACTTGTTGCTAGTTAAAACATTCTTCTCCCAGGGCTTGTTTGTGTTGGCCCAACTCACTGCAAATGGAGCCCTGACTATCCGCACAGTGCACAGCAGCATTATGGGGGCTTTCTCACTTTGCCCCACTTTTGGCAAAGTCTGGAAAAGCTCTGGCGTATTGTGGGATTTAGGGGTAGTCTGGACAGCTGGACTAGGTCCATTTGAACAGATCCACTGTCCAAACAGACGCACCACCACCAGTCTTTCCATGCATGATCATTACTGGAAAAGGGGATCAATCATCCCTATGTCACTACTGCTCCTAGCCACCTGTGGAGCTCCTTCTGAGTACCTGGCCACTGCAGACACCAGCAGAACAGGGTATTCAAGTTAACAGCAAGGAGAGGAGGCAGCCCAATAGGACATATGTGGTCCCAAGCTATCTAGACAGGTATGTACTGAATCCAGTGGTACTATGAAGGTAGATTTATAGTTTAGATGGCCCTTAGTGGAGAACTTACTGACCCCTGAAGGGTCAGTAAGTTGTGTGGTATATAACCCATTCTAGAATGGATAGATATGGAAAATCAAACTGAATCCATACAAACAGGTCCTAGTTACCTTCAAAGTTCTTCACTTGTGTTTGGCTGTGTGTCAACCCATCTTGAACTGTATTTCATTTCCCCAAAGGTTTGCAGTTTGGGGCTTCTTTTGGGGCTCCGTATGACAGCACAAAAAGATATGATGGCCAGGAATGTTTGGTATCAGCTTCAGCTGTTATATGATGTCTTTTCCTAGAGCTAGAGGACCTAAAGATGGCAGTGCATGTGTTAGTGACTTCAAGGCTGGAATTCTGCAAAGTATTATACATTAGGCTATTTCTATACCAGTTCAAAACCTGGCAGCTAGACTGGTTACTGGCATATCTAGGAGTAACTGGATTACATCTGTATCACTTTACCATTTCCAGAATAGGTACAAAGTGTTGGTCATTACCTTTACAGCCCCACGTGGTCTGGGACCAGATTACCTATGAGATTGCCTTCTGCCATATAATCTGCCTTGGATTTTTGGGGGGAACAATTCCTTCATTCAGACATGGAATCATGAGATTTGCAGTTTGGTTAAAGATCAGCATTCTTTGACAGAGAAGGCTAAAGACTGTGTAAAACATCAGCTCCCATGATTTCATAGCATTGAGCTGTGGCAGTTAAAAGGGTTTCAAAATACATTGATTTTGCCGTGTAAATGCATCCTAACACAGTGTAAGCCCTACAAAGATGCAGCCACCTTGTATCCCATATGGCAGAAAAGTGACATATAAATGAAAAAAAAAACCTGAAGATAGGTCTTCAATACACTTCCTTCTCTTGCACATGGCTCATAAGATTTGGATAGCTTGCAAGGACACAAACCAATGATTGCCCCCTCTCACAGATTTACATAATTTAACAGGGAAATGCTCTCTGAGAATCTACTATAATATTATATTGATTGTTGTGTTAGTAAAGCAACAGTGGTTCAAGTTAATCTATTTAGCAATTCCATGCAGAGTAGTTATATGCTATCAGGTCATTGAAGCCCAAACCATTGAACAAGTAGAAGCACTCAGCATAGTTCTGATATTTAGTGAACTACCGTACAACCTTGTGGGACAGGTCCACACAGTTTCACCTCCCCGCATCCGATAAAATAAGAATTTTCTAAGTCCTCAAGATGATTCTATGGTATGCTTCTGCTGACATTGCCAGAGAATTGCTTGGAGGACCTAGAGAAAATACCTAAAAGTATTCCAGGGCAATTTTATGATAACCTTTGAGAGAAGTAATTCATTGCAATAGGATTTGCTATTTATCCATATTTTCCTGTTTCCACGGTAAGTTCAGGAACACATCCTGCACAGATATGGGGGTTGTACTGCAAAATTAATTGTTTCCAGTATAACACTCAAAAGAGGCTTTTAGTTTATTTAAAGAGATGTTTCCCATTATATATGCGATCTGGTTCCATTCTGGGAACAGTAAATGAGGAACTCTGTTTTTTGTATGCATAAGCAGAATTATTAGTGTTCTGTAAGAGCACTAAATCTTAGCTTTTAGAGTGGCTATTAACCTACTTCCTATGCAAGAGCAAAACAAGAGCTGGTAATGGAAGGAGAAAAAACAATGTGTACCAAACCAGCTGTTACAGAGAGTCTGTTCATACTAGGAACAAAGGTGACATATGTACTTCGATCATGCTACCATCAATGAACCATAGTTGTTTTTACACATTCTGTAAATGTCAAGGAGCCTTCCCATGTGAACTAACACATTCTTCTGCCTTTCTCCCATTTCCTAGCAGACTAGTATTCAACTAAAGAAAGGAGGCTAAGAATAGTAAGCCTCTCAAATATCAAGTGCAAAGGAGCATATTGCAAAGATTGCTCTCTGTGTGTGCACACACTTTAAGTACATCAAAGGCTATTGTCCATGTGGTTTGATATTAGATGTGGCCTTGTAAAGTTCATAAACAAGATGATGTGCTTTTCATCATCCTGTTGAGCATAGAACTGATATCTGAGAGCAGTTATTAAACTATAAGCTTAGAACTCCACTAGATTTAAGTGTATGGATTAAGGGAGAAGTTGTGAACTTGTTTGGTTTGGATATACATGGTTACAGGAGCACAAAAGAGAAGGAAAGTTTTTGATTTATAGTGAATTATTCTAATATAGATAGTACTTTGGAATCATTCTCCAGTGCCTTTGACTAGGCAGTTCCAAAGAACTGGCCTAATGTTACCTAAGTTCCAGCACTTTAGCATGGCCCTCTGCTCCACAATCCTGACATTTTAATGCCCATGAACATTATCCTCCCAGTCCTGCCTTCTGAATTTTGCACTTTCCCTTAGCTCTATCTAGGAATTTGCACAAACCCAGAGCCGTCTGAACTCAGCACTTTTATCATTCTCTATGGTACTGTTTTTATGGTGTTATTTTTTTGTGATAATGTTTTTATTTGGTTTTATTTTGATGCTATCTTATTGTGTTTTTAACTTGGTGCTCCCTGGGCTTGTCCCTTTGTAAGCTGCCCCGAGTCCCTTAGGGGTATAAAATAAAATTATTATTATTATTTTACTGACACAAAAACACAGTATGTCACAGCAAATGAGATATATATGCTGGATTTCGTATCACAAAATCGTATCACAAAATCACAATATATTTTCGAATGATGCATGCAGATCCAAGTAGGGTGGCCTTTTGCAGTTGACAGATCATGATTTTGTCAATTTTCATTATTTCCAAGTGCCGTCTGAGAAGGATGATAAAACATCAAAACATCCGAGCGTCCCCTGGGCAATGTCCTTGCAGATGGCCAATTCTCTCACAATTCTCCCAGAAGCAGCTTGAAGTTTCTCAAGTCGCACCTGACATGATCCAAATAATAATAACTATTATTATTATTATTATTACAATGTTGAAGTAGTTCTTTTTATCCAACTTTATTGTCACTAATGAGACAATAGACTCCCTTCACTAGGAAATTGTTTGTACCATATTTGATTTTGATTTTTTGACCCATCACTATAACTTACTCTGTATAAGTCAATCTCATAACTAAATTGAGTGCAAATGGTGAGGTCAAAATTAAGAATTTTGATATGACCTGTGGATAAGTCAAGGGTCATTCCACAGAGAGCCAAAAGTACCAATGCTACCTCAAGGGGCCTGACCAACTCTGGCTACCACCACCATTTCCCCTCCCAGACAGTCAAGAAGACCAGAAGCATTGCAGCTGAGAGAGTAGAGGGAATCAGTGCTTCTTTATACAAGGACACATGTTTTGGGTTGATTTTTTTGACTAAAATGTCCAGACTTATACATAAATAATCAAATATGATGTTCATATATTTGCATTCATGAATGATGCTATACACATAATGCTGCATTAAATTCAAGAGACACAATGTTGCCTGACCCTTTTCTTTTGCCTAATTCTCTACTGGGAAATCCAAAAAAGCAGGCTGCTATGACATTGTACATTGAGTTTTGGTTTACAATTATATAAGACATTAAAATAAGCCCATTAATCATTATGCCTTTAGTTCACTTTGGACTGATTTTGGAGTATAGTGGCCAACTCTAGGTACAGGGCACAACTATTGCCTTCTGTTTCCATAGCCATTGGCTACTTTTGGCGTATGCAGATGTCATTCTAAAAACTCGTGCTAATGTCACTATCTTATATATCATTTTGACTCACTAGCTTTACTTTCAGAACCTGAAAGGACACTTTCTAGGCTGCAATCATAGAAGTAGCTATGGATATGTGTGTGCTAAATGAGGCTGTTGTGCCCAAATAACTCTCCTTCCTCCATGAATTTTTACTCAGCCCCATATGTCTAGCATTGCAGTAAGACTTTTTAATTCCTAGAATCCCCTATACCAGTGGTTCTCAATGTGTGCTCTGCAGAGCCCTTGAGGCTCAGCGAAGCATACTGAGGGTTTCCATGGTTTCTTTCTCCTTCTCCCTCTTCCTTCATCCCTTCCAAGCTTTCCCTCCTTTCCTGCTCCTCTCCTCCCTCTGCTTCCCTTGCCCCAAAAGTCTTTTTAGTTTGTTTCCCTCGCTGCCAAAAGCCTCACCTTCCTCACCTCCCACATCATCCCCCCCCCTTCTTGCTTCCAAAACCCTATTTCTCTCCCACTGTTTAGGGGTGCTTTGATTGTGCTTTTCCTGCATGGGAGAAGGGGATTTGACTGAATGGCCTCTGGGGTTTCTACTTTCTGTTGTTGTTGTTGTTGTTGTTACTACTACTACTACTAAGCTGGATGGCCACTGGTTGAGATGCTTTGAATGTGTTTTTCCTGCATGGTAGAAGGTGTTTGGACTGGATGTCCTCTGGGGTCTTCCATTGATATACTATTAAGTTTATGTTGGTCCAAAACTTTGCCCATATTTGATATGCATCATATATGCATATAATATAATATAATATAATATAATATAATATAATATAATATAATAACATTTCTTGGGGCTCCATGAGAAACGTTTGCTTCAAAAAAGGGCTCCATGGCTGAAAAAGCTTGAGAATCCTTGTCCTATACTATGGCCGTACTAGTGATGTATTCTAGAAATAATTTTTTTGGGAGGGGGGGGGGCATTCCCAAGCACTGTCCATTTTTGACCAGAAACCCTAATGAAAGGGGAATGGTAGGACACATATTGGTGCAAACCAATGTTCCACATAAAACTATTTGGATGAATCTCAATATTTCATTACCAATGTCATATGCAGCTCCCCCTTAATATATTCCCATGCCTTTGGAGCTTTCTAACAAAGCCGTGTGGTGGTGTTTAGCAGAGAGAAAATAGCAATAACTTCAGCAGAGTTATAATCAAGTGGAAAACTGTACTGCAAAGGAAAGAAACCTCTGAAATGTTAAACACTGATGGGAAATTCTGTGAATCCTAATCTGCACTACAGCTAATATTTAACCTGTTCTATTTTGCTCTGACCTTGGTCTATTGTTTAAAAATAGAAATGAGGTACCAAAATAGAAATGAAGTGAAAAGAAAATATTAGAAAATCTATGACAGGAAAGCAGAGATAAAAGTTGCCAGGGCAAAAGAATCAGAGATGGTACAGAAAGAAGACAGTGTAAAATCATAATACTTTTGAACAAAGCTTGGGAAATTCCACTTTTGGATTGCAACTTCCATAATCTGCCAAGCAGCAGACTCATAATCTGCCAAGCAGTAGAAGAAAAGAATGAATTCATGAGGAATAAAGGGATTACTTAGTAATTTTTAATTTACTAATTTGTGTATACTCAAGTCATTTTCAAGTTACAGCAATCTTCTGAAATTCATAGGGTGTTCATATGCAAGGAATACTCAGAAGTAATTTTGTCAGATTCGTCCTCCAGAGCATAGGCTACAGCACTTGGTATTTCTTAGTAGCCTCCTGTATAAGTACTGACCTGCTTAGCTTCCAAGATCAAATGGAATCTGGTACCTTTAGAGTATTTGGGCCAAAATTGATATATACACTGCTTTTTTCAGGCAACAAGGGAATGAAAGCAGCTTGCAAATATTTAAGACAGGCCAAAGTTTGCATTTTACAAAAAAAAAAAATTAAAAAAGAGGAAGTCTATTAAAAAGTACATAGTTAAAATAATTTATGTTACTCCAGACTGTGGTAGATATAGACAGGTTTCAAGAGAGATTATTTATAAAAAATCAATCTCACTTGGAAGGCAAACCAAACACCTAATAACAACTGGGGACAGTTGGATGGGTTTAAAACCTTCTAGATTTAAAAGAAGTCACAATTAATAAAGAAGAGAATTGATTGGGAATTGTTTAGATTTTTGATGGCAATAAGTTAGCAGGTCCCTGTCAAAGCCCATCTATGTATACATTTTCTCTTACAAAATATGGAAGGTTATTGTTATACATGACAAAGGCAGCAAGATTTGTCTATGCTCAAAGATGGAAAGACTCAACGAATCCAAATCAAGGCAATTTGCTTATAAAAATAAGTAAACTTGTGGAAATGGATAAGCTTACTATGCTGATTAAGGAGAGCTTTCTACCTAACTTTAAAAAAGATTGGGGCCTATTTGTGTTCCTCCTGCAAAGATAGGATCAAGCCTCCATCACTGGTTTTTGGGACTAAAAGAGCATTATTACGTGGGGAAATGACGTATCAATGGTTCTTTTTCATTTAATACGTGTAGAAAATACAGAGAATATAATCATCAGACAAAGAATGTACAGCCATTAGATTAGATAATATAGAGCATACATAGTTAATGTTTTCTGATGTTTAGAATGTAGTAGTAATATGTTTTCTTTTATTCTAGCAAAAGTATTTTAATGTTTTTGTTTGCTTGTTAGCTTGTTTGTACATTGGTATGTAGGTTTTGTATTAATTTGTCAACATAAAAATGTTTTTTTAAAACTGCTTCTCTTGAAATATAAGAGAAATATGAGAGATTAAATAAGGTCTATAAGTGGAAACAAGACATTTCATGATTAGACCTGAATACTGCCCTTCCCCCTATTGAAATGTCAATGTGGGTCAAGGTATTTATAATCTGTATTGGCACAAAAATATCTGCCATTTGATTATCATATGAAATGCATCACACGCAGAGAATTTCTACCAATAACTGTAGCCCAGAAACTGTACTCTTTGTCTTTCCCCAAGCTGACTCTATTTTTCACTTCCACCACCTTTTGGACAGGTTTTAATGGATCAAATCCAGAAAGTGTTACAGTGTCTTCCCCTAACCTGCATTCATGTGTTAATAGAAGTCAGGGGTAATAAAAGTCAACTTGTACTCCGCCAAGTCACTAGAAACCTTGTGCATTCATTCAGTCAAGACTACATGCTGAATTCACATGCTTTACTTTCCTATCCTCAGTCATTGTTATCACTTTCCCCTTTATTCAGTAATTTTAATAATGCTTTAGGTCTCACAATAGAAATGTAAAATAGTGATAATGTTATCTTCTAGGATTTAATAAGCTTTTAAAATCATGATATGATATATAATAGTTATGCCATATCTAGCAATTGGCCAAGCTGAACAATTAATACCAACACATATTTGATATTACTAGATTGTAATGAGTCAGATAGTACATGGGAAAAGAAATACATCTGTGTCATTGGTATTGAATATTTCCATGCAGATACAAAGCTGAATAAAGTTCTAGCCTAGATTCCTGACATGCACAAGTACTTACTATGATTGTGTCATGCCTTAAGTAGTCTATGTGTAATATGAAGTAATATAATTCAGTGATAGCAATATGGCATACCTAAATGTAACAAAGTGAGCATCAAGTATTTACTTCCTGAATTTCTAAAGTCTGTATATATTGAAGAGGTACAGGAAAGATGGCTGAATTTGGTACCAATTCAATAAAGTCAGTAATCAATGAGAACTAAGTGCATAATTTTGTGGAGAAAAACCATGGGTAAGAAATAAATGTTGCCCCAGTGAGCCTCTTGGTGAAAAAAAGTCTCCTTTTTAATCTAAAATAGATTGTGGGCAAACACATGGCACAATTTCATCTACACATTTGGAGGAGGGAAGTTTTAAAATTTAAAATATCTGAAAGATTTCAAGGATGAGGAAGTAGCAGTTTTATGTGACCCTCTGGGGCCCTTCTACACAAGGCCAAAACCTGTGATGGGTTCCAGATGACCTCACAGGCTAATCAGAATCAACCCATAGCAAACCTGGATTTCCAATAAGATTTATTTATTTACAACATTTGTATCCCACCCATAGCGGCCCAAATGCAACTCAGGGCGGCGTACAAGTCGGCAACAATTAGATGCCATATATAAAAATACATACATCAATAAAAAAAGCAAAAACATCACAATACATTTAAAAACCATAAAAGAAATGAATAAAAATTTTAAAACAATTTAAAAGAAGAGAGTTACCGTTTCTGGAAGCCTGAAAGCAATCCCTCTCTCTCCACTCGAAAGCTCCATCGCATCATTTGTAAGCAGAAACATCCAGGAATGGAGGGGGGTGAAGGAAGGCAGGGGACCGGGAGATGGTGGCCATATCCTCCCCCTTGTGCTAATGCTGGCTTGGCACAGGAGGGAATGTACCCACACACACCCATGAAAGTCACGGGATTTGGGCCCACTGTGTGACCTAAATCCAGAGAGGAACCAGGTTTTAAAATTCCTTTCGAGATTTAGCCCTGTCCGGAAAGGCTCTGAGATTCTACAGGAGACCGATGCAAGCCTGCATTTCTGACAATTGGCCAAATCTCCGATACTGGCTGGCCACTAAGGAAGTATTTTCCTTGATGAGATGTCACCTGTTTCTCACTAAGACATAGTTAGGTCCTAAGTATCTGATTAGGAGTACAGATAGGAAGATTTAAATCTTTCATCAGCCAAGAAGCTGACTGGGTGAAACTCAGCCATTCTCTTTCTCCCTCCTTCCTATTCTCTTTATGTCTCTTCCTTGCTCTTTCGCTTACCTCCATAGATTCTGTACAAATACAGAATGTCTCTTTTATATTTCCATCAGTGTCACAATGGCCTGTTGAATTCGATCCCAAAGAAACAGATACTGGACGTATTTAGAGTTCACACTGTAAGAGCCTATACATAGAAGGATGGAATATTTATTTGTGCTTTTGTTTGCATAACATTGCATTTCCCCCCATATTAGCACTTAAAAATATTAACCCCCCCCCCCCCCACACACACACACACTCCTGTTTTGTCTTTACCATCTCCTATGAGATAAATGAAGTAGCCCAAGGGGGATTCATGTCCAGGTGGCAATTTGAACCTGGGTCTTTCCAGTCCTGTTCACATATTCTATTTCCCAGCCATATTTAACCCCTTCTTACTTTCTAACCTTTCAAGGAAGAAAATGTCAAATTGCATCAGCTTTGTGGTGTAAGGAAGGAAAAAGTGAAACAACGGATCCTGCCTATGTAATGGTGTTGATAATATACAAACAGTAATTATACAGCTACCTGTGATGACTTGGCTGTTTTCACCGGATATATCCATGTGAAGGGGTCAGAAGAGTTCAGCTACAGCAGTTCAGTTCATCTGCTCACCAAACTTCTTTCTTATAGAAGAGTCTCAATAACTAGAAGCCAAAGAAAGAGCGAACAGATGGTGCCTCCCCTTGAGGCATGTAAACTGACACTCTTTTGGAACAGAAGGGATGGCAGTCTGTAAGGAAGGTGTATAATCTACTTTCTAGCCATACAGCAATACTTACCTCGTGTTTTTGTTTAAGAAAAGGAAAGGAGCTGGGGAGTTTGATGAGAACCAAAGAGAACCTAGAGATTTACACCCTCCGTACCAACTACTTGTTCTGTTTAGTACAAGTTAAGGTGATTTGTATGGCAGATAAAAACATTGGGAGTCCAGGGCTTGAATCCAAACTCAGCCATGGGAATTAACCATGGGCAAGACCCACTCTTCAATCTTAGAGGAAGGTAGTGACAACCCTTTCGATAAATCTTGCCAAGAAAATCCTATTTTACGATCACATAAGTTATCAGCTTGAAGTCACATAAGAAAAATAATGAATTAAATTACTGGGACTTGGTCTTTCTAAATCAAGGGAGAGGATTGATTTCTTCAGTAAAAATGAATATATTACATTAGTTCTCCAATATCGGAAAACAAGCAGGTTAAACCACTGAGTTGCTGAACTTGCTGACCAAAAGGTCGGATGTTCGAATCCGGAGAGTGGGATGAGCTCCCATTCTTAGCCTCAGCTTCTGCCAACCTAACAGTTCGAAAACATGCAAATGTGAGGTACTGTTTCAGCAGGAAGGTAAAGAAGCTCCATGCAGTCATTCCAGCCACATGACCTAGGAGGCATCTATGGACAACGCTAGCTCTTCGGCTTAGAAATGGAGATGAGCACACGCCCCACCCCCAGAGTCAGACATGATTAGATTGAATGTCAAGGTGAAACCTTTACTTTTATAGATAATGAAATAATGACCAGTCCTGAGATTTTATTTTTCCCCAAGCAGAACTTTAGAAAGATATTTAGGGTACCTTTTGATAATTGCCATAGTGCTGGTAACTGTTACTTTATTTTTTATCCTTAAATGAGTTTATTCTAGTAAGAAAAAAGATGTAACAAGTGGTACATAAATACGTCAGGGTTCTAAATAAAAGACATCAATGTCTGGACTTGGACAAGATTCTGTATTTGAAATAGAACAGCACTAAGATAAAAGGTTCACTGAGAAGCACTGTTGAAATCCAGTTTTTTCAAACACTATATACAAATTAATTTGTAATTACTCTGGACTTTCCATTTTTAAAAGGATACAATGGAAGAAATCAGAGCATCCCAATGCAAACATCTGCCTATAGATGAAATGTAATAAAACTTTGGGGAAAGAACATGTTTGTGAAAAATATAATGAATTAGGTTAATCATTACTTTTTAGAAAAATCAGAGAATTGACAGAAATGTGTAAGTTTAATTGACATTATCGCCTCCTAGTGGCACATTTTATTCCTGACTTCTTTAAATGCTAACTTTATCAATCTTGTCTAAGTTCGTCACGCCCTGTGTCACCCAAATTAGCAAGGGCAAAACCCTCCCCTATATACTGGTTGACAGCCTTTTTCTAGATACGTAAATCTTTTACTTGTAGGAGAATCATGGGTGTGATGATCCTGGGTGTGTGACCCTTGTATTCAGACTGTATTCCTGGGTGGTCTCTGCCTGAGTTAGCAGATCAGCAATAACAATAACAAAAAGTCTACTCTACCCTAGAAAGGAATCTGCTGAGAAAATACTTTGTGGGGAGGGCATTTAGCGTGAAGGGGATTATTGGGCTAGTTTGAGCATGTCTGGGACAGCAAACAATTTTCACAGTCGGAACAGAGCTATCAACACACTATGGTTGCCCCATCCCTCTACAGGGTCATGTTGCAAGGCAGGAAAAAAGGCGAATCTGGGCAAAGAACCCCCCCCCCCCCCCCCCCCATGAAGACATTCTTCAAAACTTCCACTTTTCAAAAAAGACATAATCACAGGAGAAAATTGCTTACTTTGCTTCCTCACTGTAAGAACAAATAATGTAAACAAGACTAACACATTGTGTGCAAACGCTGTACTTGGAATCCCATGGAATTCAGTAAGTATAAAGAGATTGTTGTACTGCTTTATTTGGCACCATACGTGACAACATCAACATTACCCCTTATATGTCATTAGCTGCTACATTTTAGCATTTGCTGTGAACTGTATTACTGCTGCATCAAAATGAGAAAACTTTTGGTGTGATTGGTGCCAAAGGTGATTTCCATCCTTGAGCTCAAAAAAATACTCCAGAAGAGTAATTTTCAATAGGACAGCAGCACAGATGGAAAGGGTTAGTCCTAATCCAGCTCTGATCCTGCTTAGATCTCCCCGTGACTGCTGTTTACGATTTTAGATTCACACATCTTCAAGTCATGTGTGTAATGTCGCATCTAGTTAGGCTCGGAATCACCATCTTTCAGTAATATTATCACATCTTGCTATTATACTGTGTAGAAACTGCACTGGAAAAGACTCAGAAGTAGCTTCCTAGGTCCTGTCTACACTGCCATCTAATGTTGTTTGAAACTTATGTTATGTCATATTTATTATCAGAATAATCATGCATAATGAAAACTTTTGTTAAAGCAATGTTCAGATTGCCCACCTTCTAGACTGAAAATAATGTAATTTCAACCAGCTACTCTTGATCTGTATTGACAATCTGGCAAACAAAACAACAAATGCTGAACATAATTTGCATATGCAATTTTTCTCCTATTAATAGATAGATAGATAGATAGATAGATAGATAGATAGATAGATAGATAGATAGGAAACAATTGCTATGATTTAAATAGAAATATAAGACGTTACCTGTATTCCTGATGCTATCCTACTACTTAGATATGAATCAGTGCCTCTGCTCCCCCTTGTTAGGGTTCTCAATTTCTATTTGAAGGGCTGTTCAGTCCGTATTTCTTTTTAATAGACTGACAGTCTTCAAAGAGATGAGTATTCTCTTTAAAGTAGACTACATGGCCATCCCAGCATTTGTTGCAGCAATATTTCAGTAATCTGAGAACTGACTAAGTTGTCATACTCTACCTGGAGGGATCTTCTTCAGAGAATAAGAGGCAGGTCCCAGTTGGAAGATTTGGCATCAGAGGCAGAACGTGAAATCCCAGATGATAAACTTCTTCTATATTTATCACAGAACGAAGCGAAGCTTGGATTCTCCAAAGACAACTAATTTCTCCTACAGAAGCAAGGGGCCAAAGCTGACTCTGAAATAAAGCTGTCCCCAATCCCAAGGCACACCTAGAGATCCAGCAGAGGTGAACTCCTTTGATCAGACGGGATCCCCCAACAGTTATTCCACATTAGTAAATCTGCTTCAGCAGGCAAATGCTAACAACTCCACCTGTATCTCTTGTTTCCTACTGTCTGTTTTACAGCCTTTATATTCTGACAATTCCTTACTCTGAATTCCGAATTTACCAGATGTCTCCCTCTTTACCTTGGCTTTTTTCTGACCATCCCTTTTCTTGAACACTCACCTCATATGACCTCATGTCTAGCTCCAATCCCTTCTATTCCTACTTCCATGGAATTGTTGCTTACCTGCTAAACTTTTTTCCCTTATGAGGCACTTAAAGCCACTAACCAGGTCTCAGGCTAATCACATGCTACAAGCACAATTCTGACTGTGAAAATAAACAGCTTGAATAGAAAATGAAAGCATTGCTTCGTCATGCTATGATGATCTTTATATTTGAATGTAATACAAAATTATTCTTCCATACTTCATCAGTACTAATATCAGATTTTATCTGTTTACCACTTGAATCAATACTAGAAACAACATAATTGAAGATTAGTAAGATTCTTAGCATTACAAGTTATTTTGTTTTTAATATTCAGTAAAGTATTCCTCTGTTGCAAATTATGATGTGGAGTTGAAAGACTTGTGCATGTGTAGGACTGGTGGTGATGTTCCTTGTGTTGTTGGACTACAAATTGCATTATTTCAGTCAGCCGAGCCCATGGTAGAGGCCCCATACAATGCACTCATTTAATGTAGTCCAGCAACAGAAGGAGGGTCATAAATTGCGCACTCTTACAAAGACAGAACTCCAATATTGTCAGGGCTAACATTCGCAAGGAAGCTCTACATATATTGAGGCACCGCTCCCCTCCCCTTATACAGATTCTGATCATACCTTGGCCACATTCGTTCTAGCATCTTCAGGAGCTCAGTACCAATGAATACCAAATATTGGAACTGGGCTACTTTAATAATCACGTCTCAAATTTTAGTAGCTTCCTAACCCCATGATTTCATCCCATTCATGACACTTTGGTTTAAGATATCCTACCGGCTCTATTGTGTTCACTTTTTCTGTTAACAGCTGCAGAAGAACTGCTGACCACAAGGTTGGCAGTTCAAAGCCGCAGATCAGAGAGCTCCCACTGTTAGCCCTAGCTTCTGCCAACCTAGCAGTTCGAAAACATTAAACATGGCAAGTTTGAAGCCCGAGTCAGGGTTGAGCACCCGACTGTTAATCGCTGTTTAAAAAATAGCTGTTAAAAAAATGCCCAGCTCACTATCGACCTAAGCAGTTTAAAAACAGCTGTGAGCTGTGAGTAGAGCAATTAGGGACCGCTTAAAGCAAGGAGGATAATTTATGACACCATAAAAATAGCAAGGAGGATGGAGGCAYTACTATGATAAAAAAGGCTGGATGTCATAGTGGACAATGCGACAGCTCCCCCTGTGGCCAAATCAAGCAACTTCCAGGATCTGAAACAGAAGAACTGCTGAATGGCCTCTACCTGTCTGTCCAAAAAACAAAAACAAAAAAAAAAACAGCACTGAATGTTTCCAGTGTATATGTGCATCCGCCCTGAGTGCCCTTCGGGGTGAGAATAAGGTGAGTAGATCAATAGGTACCACCTCGACAAGAAAGTAAAAGGTACCCATGCAACCATGCCAGCAACATGACCAGGAGGGTCTATGGACAACAGGCTCCTTGGCATGGAAGATGGAACAAGAACACCTCCCCATGGCCAGAGTTGATCATGGCTCCAGATGCCGGAGATGGAAAGGGAAACCTTTGCCTTTGTTTGCGTATTGTATGTCATTGTTCACTGTATTAAAAAAGATTGAATGCTTCCCCCCCCCCCCCTCTATATATATACATACTGTAATCCTCTCTGAGTCCCCTCAGGGATATAAAACAGAATATAAATAAATTGTAMTATTATTATTATTATTATTATTATTATTATTATTATTAACATCAATAATACTTCTGTTACATTAAAAAAATCAGTTGAAACATCTCTCAGAGATCTCTTTCAGTCCTTTGGTTATCTCGTTTCAGCCACATGACCTAGTTTTTCAAGACTAGACTGTGTACACAGCTCATACTGAAATCAATTGAAGTTGTTAGTATACGGCTAAAAATCATACCTAAGCTGTCCCAGATCAGTCATCCCAACTGAATGTGATTGTAGGAAATCAGTAGTTGAATATGATAAGACAGTGGGATACTTGTGTTGCTGTAGGGAAATTAACTGAGATGAACTTTCTGTGAGAGGCTGAGCTCATTGGTAACAGAGGCTGAGAGTGCTGTGTGGCTGTGATTAAAAGTAGAGAACATCAAGTGCACTTCTACGGACACGTTTACCTGGCAGTAAGCTTCTTTAATGGGATTTCTTTCCCAGTTAACATATGCAGTGTGCTCTCAGTATCTTCTGGGATTTGGTTCAAGGATTCCCTGTGGATACCAGAATTCATGGATGTTCAAATCCCATTATAGGCAATGGCATAGCAAAATGGTGTCCCATATACGAAATGGAAAAACCAAGATTTGCTTTTGGGGTTATTTGGGGTGGGAGTGTAGGGGATATTTTCAAGATGTGGATGGTTGAATCCATGGATGCAGAAGCCATAGATATGGATGAACGACAATCAGGGGCGGCTTGTCCATTACGCGAAGTAAGCGGTCGCAGAACACTTTTTTTTGCCAGGGGCGCAGAGGCGCCTCTGTAAATGCCCCTTGACTGCCACTTGAAGAGCGCCCCCTCAGCTCACAACAGCCCTAGCAGTCCGGGGGGGAGCCTCGGCTTTCTTGTCTCGCTACCGGGCGATCCTCTTCCCAAAGGGGCCGGGCCCTTGAGCCTCACCTAGCCCCTCTCGTTCCTGCTCCACCTGGCCACCGGGTGTGCGAGCAGAGCCGTCGCTCAATCGTTCTCCGCATTCGATCCCTTCCCCATGACCGGCTCCCTTTCCCTATCCCCCTGCGCTCCACCCGCGTCCTCTGCTCTCCCCAATCCGTGGGTGGGCCAAGGGGTGGAGCCGCCATGCCTGGCCCGCTTCGGGTCCAGAGGCATGTCTGAAGACCCTGGTGTGTGCACCAAAAGTCACCTCTTCTCAGTATTACACTACAATGTCTTCCAACACAAAGGTAACTCATGTTTGCATGTTTTCAAACTGCTAGGTTGGCAGAAGCTGGGGCTGACAGTGGAAACTCATGCCGCTCCCCAGATTCGAACCTGAAACCTTTCGGTCATCAAGTTTAGCAGCTCAGCGGTTTAACCCAATGCACCACCGGTGCACCGGTGGGTTATTGTGCTATGCTAATAATTTTATATATATACATTTAATATTGATAATAATATTAATAATACATATTATACTGTAATAATAATACATATTATACTGTAATATGATATAATAATACAATATAGTAATATATAATACTAATATTATGCTATGCTAATATTATATTACATATAATATAATAATGTAATACAATATAATATAATACATATAATACTAACACAATACAGTAATATAAAAATACTAATATATTAAATATGGTACTAATGATAATATATAGTAATATATAATGATATGCTGTTTTATTATTGTAAGATAAAAGTTAAGGTTTTCCCCTTGACCATCAAGTTTAGTTGAGTCCGAATCTGGGGGTTGATGCTCACCTCCATTGCTACGCCGAAGAGCCGGCGTTGTCCGTAGACACCTCCAAGGTCATGTGGGTTTGCCTTTGAAGATGGCTTGGAAGCTTCAACTAGTCCAACGCTCGGTAGCCATGATTCTAACAGGAGCGGAGCGCAGGGAGCATACAACCCCCCTGCTGCACCAACTCCACTGGCTACCGATTTGCTACCAGGCTCAATTCAAAGTGCTGGCGTTGGCCTTTAAAGCCCTAAACGGTTCCGGCCCAAGCTATCTATCCGACCGCATCTCTGCCTATGAACCCACCAGGACTTTGAGATGCCCTGCTCTCGATCCTGCCTGCCTCACAGGCACGGCTGGCGGGAACGAGAGATAGGGCCTTCTCGGTGGTGGCCCCGCGGCTGTGGAACGCCCTTCCCACGGACATTAGACTAGCTCCATCATTAATAGAGCTCCATCATTAATAGAGCTGGCTGCTGGAGCTGATGAACAACTGCACTGCATCCTATCAGATCCCCAAAATCTGGAGGAAAGCAAGAGTCATCGCCATCTTGAAGCCAGGCAAAGACCGTAATGACCCAAAAAGCTACAGACCAATCTCCCTGTTGTGCCACCTCTACAAAGTTCTGGAGAGACTTATTTTGCATAGAATTATGGAAAATATAGACCCCTGTCTGATCCCACAGCAAGCTGGCTTTGGAAAAGGCAAAAGCTGCACATCGCAAGTGCTGAACCTGACTCAGCACATAGAAGATGGCTTTGAAAGGCAGCAGATCACAGGAGCTGTCTTCATAGACTTGTCAGCAGCCTATGATACTGTGAACCACCGCCTCCTCCTGAGAAAAATGTATAATATCACAAAGGACTACCACCTCACCCGCCTCATAGGAAACCTGCTACAAAACAGGAGCTTTTTTGTTGAGTTCCAGGGCCAGAGAAGCAGATGGCGGAAACAGAAGAACGGCCTGCCTCAGGGGAGCGTGTTTGCCTCCATCCATGTTCAACATCTACACAAATGACCAGCCACTGCCAGAAGGGACAGAGAGTTTCATATATGCTGATGATCGTGCCATTACTGCTCAAGCAGGGAGCTTTGAGATGGTTGAAAAGCTCTCCGAAGCTCTAGGTGCTCTTACTGCCTATTACAGGGAAAACCAACTGATCCCTAATCCAACTGTGCCTGGTTGTTTCCTCTCTGCTGTTTTGCTGTAGTAATTTTAGGCACATCTTAACACCTCTCAACAGAACATTTTCCCAGGCTCAGCCAGGCCTTCAAATGTTAATGAAGGTGATCAGCTGAAACATTCACACCTAGCTTCAGCAGAGGAGAGCTCTTTGCCCCACCCCAGTCATTCCACAGATATATAAACCCATTGCCCTAATTCCAACAGACCTCACTACCTCTGAGGATGCTTGCCATAGATGCAGGCGAAACGTCAGGAGAAATGCCTCTAGAACATGGCCCTATAGCCCGAAAAAACCCACAAGAACCTAAGTAAATAAATGACTGCATGGAGAGCGTTATTATTATTGTATATTTGTATATTTTAAGTTGTAATGTTTTTGATTGTGATTCGCTTTGAGTCCCCGTATGGAAAGATAAAGCGGGATATAAATAATAAATAAATACTTGTACTCGCAATTGGGTCAGAAAGAAATCGCCCTCGGGGCAAAGTTCCCTCCGCAGGATTCCTCCTGGTGGCGCTCTACGCCCCTTTGTCGTAGGGCCCGCCCCTCACCATTGACTTGCCCGGCAAACCTCCCTCGCGGCCGCCTTCCTGATTGGGCGGGGCGCTCTGCGAATAGAGGCCGAAGGCCTGGTTTCCCCAGCTCGCGATTGGCCCGCTTCGGCGTCAAACACCGAAAGGGAGCCGGGACGGAGAGAGAGGGAGAGAGAGAGAGAGAGAGCCGGGTGTCAATGTTAAGGTGACATTAGAGGAGGCGGGGGCGGCGCCACGTAACCTGCGCATTGTCCTGGGCGTAAGTGCGGTTGGTGCATTGTGCGGAGAGCGCGGCGCGGGCGGCAGGGGCGCCGCCGAGAGGGAGAAGCCCCGCCGCCGCCGCCATGGAAGGCAAGCCGAGCGACCAGCTGCTGTGCGACAGCCTCATCCTCTGGGTAAGGAGGGGAGCCGGCGGGCGGGCGGGAGGCCTCGGGCCGGGGAGCCCGTGTGGGGGAGGCCCACCCCTCGCCTTGGCCTCGGCTACCGAGTTTGGCGAGGCACCAAAGGGGGCGGAAGACCTTGTCAAAACCACAACTCCCAAGGTCCCATGAGCAGTTAAAGGGGTGTCAAATTGCATTCATTCCCCAGTGTAGATAGATTCGCTCCCGGAAGTCTCAAATAGCTTGTGCTTTCCGCCTATTAGAAGATCAGTTGTTGGTTGTTGTTATTGTTATTATTACTACTATCTGTACGCGTTGCTGTGGCCAACTTCCTCTCCCTCTTTCCTTCCTTCCTTCCTTCCCCTTTTTTCTTTCTTTCTCTCTTTCCTTCTTCCCTTCCTTCCCCATCTCTTCTTTCCCTTCCTCTTTCTCTGCTTCCTTCTTTCCTTCTCTTCTTCTTCCCTTCCTTCCCCATCTCTTCTTTCCCTTCCTCTTTCTCTCCTTCCTTCTTTCCTTTTCTTCTTCCCTTCCTTCCCCATCTCTTCTTTCCCTTCTTCTTTCTCTCCTTCCTTCCTTCTCTTCTTCTTCCCTTCCTTCCCCATCTCTTCTTTCCCTTCCTCTTTCTCTCCTTCCTTCTTCTCTTCTTCTTCTCTTCCTTCCCCTTGTAATGGGTACAAGATTAAAAGTGCTGATGTGACAGGAGGTATGTAAGGATTATAGGGTAAGTGCAGTAGTGTGCAGTGTGCAGCAATCTTAGTTCTACTAAAGTGCTTCTGGGACTTGTTATTGGAGATTCCTAATCCCTCCCCCATCTCTTCTTTCCCTTCCTCTTTCTCGCCTTCCTTGCTTCTCTTCTTCCCTTCCTTCTCCCATCTTTTCTTCTTCTTTCTCTCCTTCCTTCCTTCCTTCTTCTTCCTTCCTTCCCCATCTTTTCTTTCCCTTCTTTTCTCTCCTTCCTTCCTTCTCTTCTTCTTCCCTTCCTTCCTCCATCTTTTCTTCCTCTTCCTCTCCTTCCTTCCTTCTCTTTCTCTTCCCTTCCTTCCCCCATTTTTTCTTCCCCTTCCCCTCCTTCCTTTTCTTCTTCCCTTCCTTCCCCCATCTTTTCTTCCCCTTCCTCTTTCTCTCCTTCCTCCCTTTTCGTCCTCTTCCCTTCCTTCCCCCATCTTTTCTTCCCCTTCCTCTTTCTCCCCTTCCTCCCTTTTCTTCCTCTTCCGTTCCTTCCCCCATCTTTGCTTTCCCTTCCTCTTTCTCCCCTTCCTCCCTTTTCTTCCTCTTCCCTTCCTTCCCCCCATCTTTGCTTTCCCTTCCTCTTTCTCCCCTTCCTCCCTTTTCTTCCTCTTCCCTTCCTTCCCCCCATCTTTGCTTTCCCTTCCTCTTTCTCTCCTTCCTTCCTTTTCTTCTTCCCTTCCTTCCCCATCTTTTCTTCCCCCTCCTCTTTCTCTCCTTCCTCCCTTTTCTTCCTCTTCCTTTCCTTCCCCATCTTTTCTTTTCCCTTCCTTCTTTCTCGCCTTCCTTCCTTCTCTTTTTTTGGTTTTGTTTTTTGTTTTTTTTGGGGGGGGAGAGGGTTTTTTGTTTTTTTTTTTGGGGGGGGGGGGGGGGTGTTTTTGGGTTGGGGGTTGGTTTTTTTTTTTTTTTGTTTTTGTTTTTTTTTTGGGTTTTTTTTTGGGGGGGGGGGTTTTTTTTTTTTTTTTGGGGGGGTTTTTTTCTTCCCTTCCTCTTTCTCGCCTTCCTTGCTTCTCTTCTTCTTCCCTTCCTTCCCCCATCTTTGCTTTCCCTTCCTCTTTCTCTCCTTCCTTCTTTTCTTCTTCCCTTCCTTCCCCCATCTTTTCTTTCCCTTCCTCTTTCTCCCCTTTCTTCCTTCTCTACCTATTCTTGGACTGCAACTCCCAGCAGTCCTCCTGATCGATCTCTCTATCTATCTATCTATCTATCTATCTATCTATCTATCTATCTATCTATCTATCTATCTATCTATCTTACCTATCTGGAGGATTGCTGGAAGCTGCAGTGCAGGAATAGAAAATTGGAAACATGCAGGGATTGGGGTGCTCTCAAAGAAATCCTAGGAGAAGAAAGCTTGCAGCTTGGAAGCAGTGCATTTGGAGCATCCTCCTCTCCTAAAGGGCCTGGTCTAGGGGATGTGGAAGCTGTAGTACAAAAGAGAGTGCGTTTGCCAGGGCGAGTTGTTTTTGTGCATGCACTGTAGCTTTTGGGGCTTTTTAAGTCCCCTCTGCTGTGTTTTTCAGTGTTTTTATGAGTGATGGTCACTCGTTGGCCTGATAGGTGTATTGTGTACAAATTTGGTGTCAATGTGTCCAGTGGTTTTTGAGTTAAGTTAATCCCACAAACGAACACTATGTTTTTATTTATATAGATTACTGTAGTGTTTCTCAACCTTCCTAATGCTGCAACCCCTTAATACAGTTCCTCATGTGGTGGTGACTCCCAACCATAACATTATAGGGTTGTTGTAGATTTTTCGGGTTGAGTCCCTCTACGGAAGTAGAGAAGATCAGGATATAAAAGTTTTAAATAAATATGGCCATGTTCTAGAAGCATTCTCTCCTGATGTTTCACCTGCATCTATGACATTTAGAAGTTGTAATTGCTGTGATTTATAGTTCATCTACAATCAAAGAGCATCCTGAACTCCACCAACAATGGAATTGAACCAAACTCGGCACACAGAACTCCCATGACCAACAAAAATACTGGAAGGGTTAGGTGGGCATTGACCTTGAGTTTGGGAGCTGTAGTTCACCTACATCCAGAGAGCACTGTGAATTCAAACAATGATAGATCTGGACCGAACTTGGCACGAATACTCAATATACCCAAACGTGAACACTGGTGGAGTTTGGGGAAAATTTACCTTGACATTTGGGAGTTGTAGCTGATTTATAGTTCACCTACAATCAAAGAGCATTCTAAACCCCACCAACAATAGAATTGGGCCAAACTTCCCACACAGAACCCCCATGACCAACAGAAAATACTGTTTTCTGATGGTCTTTGGCAACTCCTCTGACACCCCACTCACAACCCCCAGGTTGAGAAACACTCCTCTACTGGATGTAATTATGTTCCCTATATAGTCACCCAATTTTGTTCTATACCTTACTATACCATACCAGGATTTCCAATCTGTAAATATTATATCTAAGGTATAGTATAGATATAGTAGGGTGTACTGTATAGTAAGGTATACCTATACTATACCTCAGTCAAGGTAAAGGTTTCCCCTGGCATTAAGTCTGGAGGTGTGGAGACCTAAAACAGCTTTCTGACTCTGAAAATATCCGTTGTTGGTTGTTGTTTTTGCATCACTTGATGTAGTTTTTTTCCTTGTTCCTTTTGTTCTGTATCTTAGACAACACACTCACAATTTCAGTATCCTGAAGAGACTCAAAACACCTCTTTAAATATCAATTGTTTGTTGTTGTGTTCCCTGTACTGTGACTTTGGATATCTAACACATGTACACATTAAGCATCACAAATAACCGGGACCAAAAGTGTTCAATATTTCTACCATGGGAGGAAGCTTTATAAAATCCGTTATTGTGGGGCTCTGGAGACTTCATACAGCACATGCTTCTGATTTTGATTGTTGTTGCTGTTTTTGCACTAGCTGTGTTGGATTCACACTGTACTCTCATTTTAGAAATCTTATCCGTTGTTTGGATGACATCTACACTGACCCTTTAATGCCATTTCGAATTGGTATTGAAGAAAGTGGTTTTGCTATGTAGATGATTACATGGGAAATCGTGGAACTACTTTGAGGCTTACACCTTACATTCAGAGCTTTCTTTTGCACACTTTTATGGGAATTTGTTGTTTGTCTGCCACAGTTTGGATCTAGCTTTGAACTGCTTTAAATGGTCTGTGTAGATGGGGCCCAACTTACCTCTATATTCACCCATAACTTTTATTCTGTGCACCAGATAACACCTGTTCACAGATTGAACATCCCTTAACCCCAAGCGCTTGGGACCAGAAGTGCCCTATATTCCATGTTGCCATGGAATAAGCTGTATAAAATCCATCATCATGGAGATATAGAGATGTCAAACAGCACGTACTTCTGCTTCTGTTGTCGGTTTTGTTGTTGCTTTTGCACTACCTAATGTGGTTGTGTTGGCTTTGTGCTTTTGATACCCAGCAATGTCCCAGTTCAAACATTTCTTTCCATGTATACAACACTACAGCCATCCATCTGATATTCTCAACTGTACCTACCATATTTATCCATGACTTTTATTTTGTACCTTAGATAACACATTTACACATTGAGGATCCCTTATCCCAGATGCTTGGGACCCAAAGTGTTCCATCTTTTTACCATACCATGAAAACAGGTGTTATAAAAACCAACATCTTGGAGATCTGGGTACCCAAAAATAGCATGTGCTTCTGACTCTTAAGAGTTCTGTTGTTGTTGTTGTTGTTGTTGTTGTTGTTGTTGTTGTTGTTGTTGTTGTTGTTGGTAGTGGTGGTGGTGGTGATGATTGCTTTTGTACTACCTGGCATAGTTATGTTGGCTTCATGCGTTCTGTGCATAGCAATCTGTCAATTCAGAAATCTCATCCAATATATGGATGATCAACCCATGTGAAATCCTCAACTGGTCCTTCAGCCCCTGACTTTTGTTCTGTATCTTAAATCACTGCTTCTTAAATTGTGAATCCCAACCCCAAATGGCCTTAAGTCAGTGTTGGGGTCATGAAAAATTTGCCAACAGGTTGGTTTATTTGTTTATTTATTTATTTATTTATTTGCAGTATTTATATTCTGCCCTTCTCACCCTGCAGGGGACTCAGGGCGGATTACAATGCACATATACATGGCAAACATTCAATGCCATTTAAAAATGCAACATTTATGAACAGACATAGAGGCAAATTAACATTCCTGTGTTTCCAGCTTCATGAGGGTATGTTTGGTTCCGGCCACAGCAGGAGCTGCCACTTCACCGTCCACTTGTGACACCGGGTCCTTTGATGGGGTACTTCC